GGAATAGAAATTTGTCAACGACGTACGTGACTCGATAGTTCCTACAATAAAAAAATGGACAATAGAGTGATGAAAAAATATTACAATCAATTAATGTTTAAGCGAAATATATTGTGTAAAATAAATAATAAATTATTTACCATTGGTGATATCAGATAAAGCATCCTTTGTGAAGTCAACTGGATATTAGTGGCATTTTGACGTTTATTTTGTGAATCACGCAACGCCGTAGAATGATGATACGTTCTCTTTTCTGACAAAAAAAAAAGTCAAATAAGATTTATGTATATTTACCCATTAACTGAAACAAATAAACATATTTGTATAGAATTTAAATAATATACAATTGTGCATTTGATTTAAAAGAAATGCATTCATATATTTGTTAAATCTGTTAAACACATACAATATACATAATATTTATATTCATGTGATATAAATTAATTTTATCTATTATGTATTATATAATAATTACTTATTCAAATTAAAAAAGTATTTTAGTCCGAAACTTTAGAGTTTGGGCCTTATTTCTACATTTCCGAAAATTTTAGTTTGTTTGGCCATTCAAATTTTTGTTTGTTTTAGTCTCTTTTACACCAAACAATTTTTTGGACCTTATTTCTACATTTCAACACATAACCCAACAAAATACACGTGCCCATCTTTGAACTAGTCAACCAATACACGTGGCGGGGTGTAGTTGAATCTGGTAGATCCAACGGTAGAAATGGCTAAACAAATTTTAAACGGACAGATTTCATTTAAGGCAAATATAAAAAGGCATTTTACTCCGACATTTTAGGGTTTCATCATATTTCTTCTCATCTTCTTTTCGGTGCCGTCTCTTCATTTCTGTTTTTTTCACGATTTTTATACATTTCACAGGTCCTGAAAACAAATTTTCCATCAACAATTTAAAACATAATCCACAACATATATGGATCGTGTTTTATTTTGTAGTTAGATCGATTAGATGTGTTTTTCTTCGTATATATTGCCTTATTCGATTTGTGTTTTTGCCTTTATCTTGTTCCGATTTTGAGAGATATCTAACAGATTTATATGATCGATTGTTAGTATATTCTCTATCGAATACTACATGCTGCATATGTATGTGAAATAGAATTTGAAATTCCAAAATTTGGGTTTTTTCGATTTATTACTCTCAACAACATTACTTTCTTTAATTTTTTAAACGATCTGAGCGCAAATTCGAATAATCATTTTTTAATCCCACATCGATTATTAGATGGTAATCAGGTAAGTATAACGGATTTCGAAATCGAAAGAATACTATGAGTTATGTGATTTTTTTGTTGTTTTATTTAATACAAAACTGTATTGTATTGATTCTTGTTTATTATATGCAATTGGACTATCGATTTGCGTTTACATATCCCAGATCCACTGGAATCTGACTCGTTCTTCACAGATGATGTGAATCGATAGTTGGATTCCGAAAAATGATAAAGAAACTAATGTAACAGCCTACGATTTATTGGCACAGACAAGTTTTCAATCAATAAACCAAGGTGATTCTACAATTTAATCAAATATTTATGATATAGTATAACTATATGTTATGGTTTTTTTCTACTAACCACCTCTGTCTTTGAAATTCGAGGTGTTGGATTGGGCAACTGAA